CCATGCGGTGGAAGCTCTGGTCCGGCAGCCCCCAGATAGATGGCTCTCAAATTCCAGGATGACCCACTACCAGGCTCTGTTGTTAGACACAGACCGACTGGTGTTCGGACCAGTTGTCTCCCTCAACCCCGCAACCCTGCTGCCCTTGCCAGACCCATCTGAGGAGCACAATTGCCTCCAGATTCTGGCGGAGGCCCATGGCACCCGCTCTGACCTAACAGATCAACCGCTGTCGAACCCAGATTTTATCTGGTTCACGGATGGGAGCAGTTTCCTCAAAGAAGGAGAACAGAGGGCCGGAGCAGCCGTTACCACCGAATCAGAGGTAGTTTGGGCCTCACCGCTGCCGCCTGGAACATCAGCCCAAAGAGCAGAGCTGATCGCGCTGACCCAGGCCCTCTGGATGGCTGAAGGTAAGAGACTCATGGTCTATACCGACAGCAGATATGCCTTCGCCACTGCCCATGTACATGGAGAAATCTACAGAAGAAGAGGCCTCTTGACCTCGGAGGGTAAGGAAATTAAGAACAAAAAGGAAATTTTAGACCTCTTAAGGGCATTGTTCCTCCCACATCAGCTCAGCATTATACATTGTTCCGGGCACCAAAAGGATGACTCTGTCGTAGCACGGGGAAATCGGCTGGCTGATCTGACAGCCCGGACAGTCACCTTACAATTCCCTAGGGGCGACCAGCTGCTGGTCTTGCAGGACCAACAGCCAAGCAGAGACCCCATGTCCTACAGCCCGGAGGACCAGGAACTAGCAAAGAAAATGGGGGCAGAATGGAGCCCCGAGCGACAAGCTTATATAATGGATAACAAATTAGTTATGCCAACCTCCCACACCAAATACATGCTCAAGTTTCTCCACACGCTAACCCATTTGAGCAAGAACAAGATGAGGGCCCTTCTGGCTGATGAGGCTTTGGACACTGTATTATTGAATCAGGAACAGGTGCTCCAACAGGTGACTTCCAGCTACCCTGCTTGTGCCCAAGTTAATCCAGGAAAAGCCCATCTGAGCAGAGGGAGCCGCCTGCGAGGCCACCGCCCCGGAGTCCATTGGGAACTTGACT